CGGGGAGGTGTGACAGGAGCTGTAGGAGCCTCTGGGATTGTCTGAATGTAAAATTGTTCTCCTCAGACTTACGGACACGGGTTGCCTCCAGCTTCCGGTAGTTTACAACACCATCCTGTCAGGATGTACTTTCCACTTCCCCTTCTTGGACACGTCCTTGTCCCATGAGAAAGGACCGTGTTGTATTGCTTATTCTTTCCCCAGATACCAGCACAGGGCCTAACATACAGTGGGAGCTCGGTGAATGAGTGAATGAATGAATGAATGTATGAATGAAATTATTTCCTTCTGCATATAGGTGAGCTGAGTCGTCAACTGGAAGAAAAAGAAAGCATAGTGTCCCAACTTTCCAGAAGCAAGCAAGCATTCACCCAACAGATAGAAGAGCTCAAGAGGCAGCTGGAGGAAGAGAGCAAGGTACCTCCTCTGAAAGATGCTTCCTTGATCTAATTTTCAAAAACAACCTGCAAAAATAAAACAAAAACTCCACAGCTTTACTCAGTAGGTGATGATAGCGGAAATGTACTTGGATTGTAGCATCCAAGTGCTAAATGTACTAGGGTCTCTTCCTTGTCTTCCACAGGCCAAGAATGCGCTGGCGCACGCGCTGCAGTCCTCCCGCCACGACTGTGACCTGCTGCGGGAGCAGTATGAGGAGGAGCAGGAAGGCAAAGCCGAGCTGCAGAGGGCGCTGTCCAAGGCCAACAGTGAGGTTGCCCAGTGGAGGACCAAGTATGAGACGGACGCCATCCAGCGCACGGAAGAGCTGGAGGAGGCCAAGTATGCAACTCTGTTTGCCTTTATAAGAACCAGAATCCCTAAGTGCTCATGGAGTAGAGCACATTGGATTTAGAACTACATGGTGGTGATTGGATGGGTTCATTTCTGTTACTGGATGTTCCCAACTGCATGTGTCTTTAAGTGTAGCACTGTGACATTTGAGGAACTTGGTGTTTGCACATTTTATTAAGACAAGCGACTTTGATCTTGGATAGAGATGAGGCAGGCTATTGATCACTGATTTTTTAGCAGTCAGGGAATTCTCCTGGGATAACGAAAGCACATGGGCGCTTGAATCGCATAGATTAGTGATTGCAACTTGATGAATAGTAATGCTTAAGACGACTGAAACTTAATCGCATCTGCTTCTCCTTCATATTTAAGGAAAAAACTTGCTCAGCGCCTTCAAGATTCTGAGGAACAGGTTGAGGCAGTGAATGCTAAATGTGCTTCCTTGGAAAAGACAAAGCAGAGATTGCAAGGAGAGGTGGAGGATCTGATGGTTGATGTTGAAAGAGCCAACTCTTTGGCTACTGCTCTGGACAAGAAGCAGAGGAATTTTGACAAGGTGTGAGATGAGCTCTAGTGACCATGGAGGGGGAGACTGGGTCCCACACCTGACTCTTGTTCCCCAGCAGTGTGGCCTTGGGAAAGTCCTGAAATTCACTAGGATGTAGTTTCTTCACCTACGGAACAAAATGGAAATGGAATGGGGGTGGAAGTCCCTTTCAAACACTGTGGGTGGAAACAAATCAATTTCCCCAAGGCCATTCAGTTCAAAATCCTTTTTCTTCCCACATATTGTTAATTTGTCTGGATGGATAATTTGTGAGACTCAAACTTACGTTTCAGTGGGAGGTTTTATGACATCTCCTCTCCTCCAGTATGGCAGATAAATTGACTGAAACCAATGTTTTAATGACATACTGAGGCACAGGACCGTTTTTCATATTAGAAGAAGGACATTTTTCCCTAGCTAATTCCTGCTCAAAAGATCCACCTGCTTTTCGGAGATGGCAAAAGTTTTGGGAGATGGTGATTGTTACTGATTGGGTATGGTCAATAAATTTACAAAATGCAATCTTGGTTACCCAATAATCAAGAAAAGGAGCCAGAGAAAAATGATACCACAAAATGTAGCCCCAACTCTGGGCGCGTTCCCCTTAAAGGAAATATTAAATAGAAGCTTGGGGGAGGAGAGTGCATGCGCAGAAACCCCTTCCGTTCTGGTGATTCAGGTGCTAGCGGAGTGGAAGACAAAGTGCGAGGAGAGCCAGGCAGAGCTGGAGGCATCTCTGAAGGAGTCCCGCTCCCTGAGCACGGAGCTCTTCAAACTGAAAAATGCCTACGAGGAAGCCTTAGATCAACTGGAAACTGTGAAACGGGAAAATAAAAACTTAGAGCGTAAGCCATCCCAGTCTAACATGGTCTGAAACCTTCTCCTGCACACTCTGTAGCAGAGCGAGCCTGTGTGGGCGTGACTCCCTTCTTCACACCCCTACACCCACATCTCTGTGCATACACCCGTGGGGTGTTCGCCTTCCAGTGTGCTCCTTGGGGGTCTCCCTACACACAGTGTCTTATCTCTAAGAAACAGGAGTCCTTTAGAATTATAATAAACCTGTCACAAAGCACTGGGTCGGTGCTCTCCATGCTAGAAACCCATGCAGGCACTCATGTGCGATCCAAACTTATCTCCTTGCAGAAGAGATAGCAGATCTCACTGAGCAAATTGCTGAAAATGGTAAAACCATCCATGAACTGGAGAAAGCAAGAAAGCAGATGGAGCTGGAAAAGGCCGATATCCAGCTGGCTTTGGAAGAAGCAGAGGTGAGCGTGAACGTCAGGGAGGAACGGAGGCAGTGGTGGGGCCCCGGAGACAAGCTGGCCCCCGTCAGAGGCTTGGTTTTTGGCTTTGTAAAATCGAAGTCTAATGCCTGCTCTTGTCCCATCAGACAGGACAAGTGTGAGGCTGAGAGTACGACCTTTGAGTTACCCAGAATGTATGGTCTAAAATCACTACAGTAGGTCTAAAAATGAGATTTTGTAAAAGCTTATTTGGGTTTTAAATATCAGTAAGGTGCTTTTTGCACTCCAAAAAAGAGAATGATTTCAATGTTATTATCTGATCATATAATCAAAATGAAATAGCAATGAAAGTGGTTATATTTGTGTACTGGAGATAAATTCAGGTTTTCTAAAAAGGCGGATTTGCAGCGGCAAAGCGCCTGCCTGGCGAGCGGCAAGGTCGTGAGTTCGGTTCCCGGTACCGGAGAAAAACCAAAATAAATAAATAAATAAATAAAAATAAATAAATAAATAAAAAGGCGGATTTGAATGTTGCAGTCCTGGATTAAAGACCACCCATCGGGACTGTGTCACTGCAACGGTTCGGTAGCAGGCTCTGTGCCAGCTCGGACACCATCTGCTTTGCTCTTGCTCGTCAGGCTGCCCTGGAGCATGAAGAAGCCAAGATCCTCCGCATCCAGCTTGAACTAACCCAAGTGAAATCAGAAATTGACCGGAAGATTGTGGAGAAGGACGAGGAGATCGAGCAGCTGAAGAGGAACTACCAGAGGACGGTGGAGACCATGCAGAGCGCGCTGGACGCGGAGGTGCGGAGCAGGAACGAAGCCATCCGCATCAAGAAGAAGATGGAAGGCGACCTGAACGAGATCGAGATCCAGCTGAGCCACGCCAACCGCCAGGCTGCAGAGACGCTCAAGCACCTCAGGAGCGTCCAGGGACAGCTGAAGGTGTGGGGAGTTCCTGGGGTCGGGTGAGGTTGGGCTTGGGGACCCCTCCTGTCCTCAGATACTCCATGCTGTATATGGGGCTTGTGATGCTACAACTTCCACTTCAGACTCTGCGTTCCTTTTTCCCCTGGCCAGGACACCCAGCTGCACCTGGATGATGCTCTCCGGGGCCAGGAGGACCTGAAGGAGCAGCTGGCAATCGTGGAGCGCAGAGCCAACCTGCTGCAGGCCGAGGTGGAGGAGCTGCAGGCCACGCTGGAGCAGACGGAGAGGGCCCGGAAGCTGGCAGAACAGGAGCTCCTGGATTCCAACGAGAGGGTGCAGCTGCTGCACACCCAGGTGAGGGAGGGTAGCAGGGCAAAACGGGGGTCGGGCCTACCTGAACACACTGGCATGACGCACCTCCTCTCACCCAAGAATACCAGCCTTATCCACACCAAGAAGAAGCTGGAGACAGACCTCACGCAGCTCCAGAGCGAGGTGGAAGATGCCAGCAGGGACGCCAGGAACGCAGAAGAGAAGGCCAAGAAGGCCATCACAGACGTAAGGCTTTCGCCTCCTCGCTGTGTGGCCTTCACAAGTGTGTTTCATTAAAGCCTGCTCTTCCTTCCTACCCTCAGATAGTCCCACTGGACAGGTAGGTTCTTCTCCCGGATGTCCGTGGGGGTATATTCTGCTTCAAAACTACTCCCATCTCCTCTCAGATGGACTGTTCCCGCCTGTACATTTGAAAGGGGGCAGAGGGAAAAGAAACAGGAAGGGATTACATCTTGTTTGTTGTGGTTGTAGAGAAGTGTGCTTTTGTTTCCTGAACATCCGACTTCTTCCAGATATGGCGATGAATCCTGCAGTCCCTTCCTCAACCTTCTAACCTGCCTGGCCCCTCTCCCAGGCCTTCTCCTGGTCCCGCGGCTCCCATAGCGCCATCTGCTGACTGATGGCGGAATGCTACCTCCAAGCTACTTTGCTTGCCTACCTATGTATGCAGCACGCCCTTCTCAAGGGACCTTCCCTTGAATCTCAGTATCCCCAAACCTGTGATGCTGGGCGTCAAATAAGTCTTCCCAAGGCATTAAGGTCCTTTGAAAATACTATACATGTTAGTGATAATGAAAAAACTTTGTGGTGGGAAAGAGCTGTGGAGGAATTTCAGGAAAGGAAGGCAGTGTTTCCCATCCAGCCCTTGCGGGTTCCTTTTGTTCATTACTTTATATGCTGGGTGTAGCTCCCCTCCTGTTCCAGGGTGGAAGATGTGCTCACCCAGTGCCTTACCTACTGCTGTTTTTCTTTAGCATGATCTCTGGTCCTGCGGTAGCCAGGTTTCCATACTTCCCAGGCCTTTCTGTTGCTCTGCCTTTCTGAGGGTGTGATCTGCTTTCCAGGCCGCCATGATGGCCGAGGAGCTGAAGAAGGAGCAGGACACCAGCGCCCACCTGGAGCGGATGAAGAAGAACCTGGAGCAGACGGTGAAGGACCTGCAGCACCGTCTGGATGAGGCCGAGCAGCTGGCGCTGAAGGGCGGCAAGAAGCAGATCCAGAAGCTGGAGACCAGGGTACCTGAAGGAGGAGTCTGGGCCTGAGCCCCCAAGCGTCTCCAGCTCACGCCACAGCCCCGGACTAATTTCCCTACTATCTCCCCCAGATCCGAGAGCTGGAATTTGAGCTGGAAGGGGAGCAGAAGAAAAACACAGAGTCTGTGAAGGGCCTGAGGAAGTATGAGCGCCGAGTGAAGGAGCTGACTTACCAGGTGAGTGGGAAGACGCCCAGCAGGCATTTTCTCCGGAAGGTGCACACCAGCCTTGGAGTCTCCACCCACACATTGGAAGAAACACTTAAGCCAAGAAAGCCAGCCTGTCTTGCGCAGTTCTGCCCCTCTCCTCTCGAATCATCTTCATTGTCTCATTTTTAGAGTGAAGAGGACAGGAAAAATGTGCTGAGATTGCAGGATCTGGTGGACAAACTTCAAGTGAAAGTCAAGTCCTACAAGAGGCAGGCTGAGGAGGCTGTAAGTCGGGCGCACGTGTGGTCTCGGGACGGTGGCCTTGTCTGTTTCCCACAGGGCTTTCAGAAAGGGCATGCTGGTCTTACCTGCTTGACCTCTTTGGTTTCAGGATGAACAAGCCAACGTTCATCTCACGAAATTCCGAAAAGCTCAGCATGAGCTGGAGGAGGCTGAGGAACGTGCTGACATTGCAGAATCTCAGGTCAATAAGCTGCGTGCGAAGACCCGAGACTTCACGTCCAGCAGGGTAAGTCCTCCACCGAGGAAGAACCCGTGGTGATTGCGGAAACTTTTAAGCTGGAAAGAGCCACGGGGAATCTTTGGCTTTACAGCCGGGGAATCCTAGACTCAGGAAGAGAAGGGATTTGTTTAAAAACATTTAGCCGAGCAGAGCCCCACTCAGGCAGAAGCCAGGTCTGCAGGTCACACAAAGAGTAAGGGGGTTGGCCCACTGGGCACTCTTCAAGCGCCCTCTGCTGGCCTGAGAGTGCTGCTGCAGGAGCACCTTGTAGAGTCAGCTGTGTTTGTCAGCAGTAGCCCCACGCATGTGGGAGGATTGCTGCCCAGCATTTGGAGCTAGCTCTCTGGCTGCCAGTTTCTTGGGCTACGCTCTGACCTCGCGTATGCAGTCACGCAAACCCCAATGTGCAAGAAATATCCTCGGTCTCAGTGAAACAGACAAGCAGCTCCCGGACGGGGGCCAGACAAGGTGTGGAGGAAAGTGTCTCTGCCACCTGACTTGGTTGGAAGTGCGGGTTCTCCTTCCAGATGGTGGTCCATGAGAGCGAGGAGTGAGCGAGCCCCCTGGAGCAGGACAGCAGATGTGCACAATGTATATCCGCACGGCTCCTGACCGTCATGCTCAATCTCCATGTGACTCCTTTTCACATGCAATAAAATTCGCCTTGTTTCCAAATTGGGGCTGTTTCATTGTATTTGTTTCCTTCTACCCTGTAAAGAAAGGATTTTTTGTTTGGTTATTTTTATGCCCAATGTTGAAATCTCAGGAGGCAGATGGCTTGATTAATTGTTGTATGTGTGTGGGAGGGAGAGATTACTTTTGGCTTAAACCTGGTAGTAGATGAAAAAGAAAAAAAATACTTCTAGGTTAACTATTGCTTTGGTGTGTGCTTGGGGGGGAGGGAGAGTTTTTTAAGAGTCATGTCTTAATATATGAGGGAAACACACAAGTTAGGTTCAAGAAAACCCAGCCTCAGGTTGGGTAGTTATTAGGCAAGGGATAATTCCCACCTCCTCTAAGTTCTATTGGGGAAATATGTCAGGAATATAGTAAATATTTGCTGGGTAGCTACTCCACGCTAGCACTGTGCAGTTAGAAATACAGAGATGAATAAGACAGTGTCAGGCCCTTTCAGGAGCTCAGTCTAAATCTACCACAAGTTACCTTGACTCAATCTGTGCTCTTTCAGAGCTGTCCAGTGAAAAATCCCATCCCTTATTCAGGATGAATCTGTATTTACCTAAAGAGGAAAAATAGAGCCAGAAGTCAGAATAATTATTTTGCTGACCAGCTACTGGAAATAGCATCTTCTAACCCGGGGTCACTCATTTTTCATTATAATTAAACTTATCAGAAAGGGCTGCCAAGTCCTTTTCTCTATCTGTCTCTAGATTAGAAGATGACCCCATTGACTCAGGTGGAATTGAAAGTCTTTGGAGAGTGCCCATCAGTGCTCTACCCCAAGTGTAACGTCTGCTAGGATTCGCCACTATCAGGGGAAGGAGGCTAAACTGATGTCAGATTTGGCCTATTTGCAATTTTAAGTCATTTTGACTTGCTTTCACATGCAACTTTATTTTAATTAATCAATTAACTTTGTTTTTTTTTTTTTTTTTTTTTTTTTGGTTTTTGGTTTTTCTCCGGTACCGGGAACCGAACTCACGACCTTGCGCTTGCCAGGCAGGCGCTTTTGCCGCTGAGCTAAATCCCCAGCCCCCTAATCAATTAACTTTGTAGTGCTGAGGATCAAATCCAGGACCTTCTGCATGCTAGGCAGGGAGCTACAACTCCAGCCCCTTGAGTTGCTTTCCATATTTCATGGCAACACTCTGACCAAAAAATGGCATGTTCTTCTGGTGATGACTGGCTGAGGGGAAATCACAGCGAGAAGAACAGGTCTGATCCATGTCCAGGCCTGAGGTGGGACCAAAGGGGCTACAGTCACTGAGATCCTCTCAGCATTTAGGAGGACTGCTGGATATTGCCTTCTGCAGAAAGCAGGCAATAGAGAAAATAAATGAAGTTTCTCACTGCAGAGGTATTCCAACTGTTAGATAAAGAAGTGAAAGACGAATATCACCGTCTTGCTATGAAGTAGGAACCCTTGATAAATTATGACAACTCAGTTCACAAAGAGATAGACAACCAGACATGATACGCCTCCTGATAGATCAGCACACCACTGCCTACAAAGAATTCTCACCCAGCAGTCTACCTGGGGTCTGATCAGCCCTCTAGATGTGATTACGACCAATCTGTAAGCAACTTGGGCAAAGACAAATGATACAACCTATAAAATCCAGGATGTAGGGAACTCAGTGGAACAAGTGATCTAGTTTTTCCAACAAATGAGCTGCAAAGAAAAAATATAGAAAAAAGTAAAAGGGAGAACCTACAGATTAAAGAGACTTACTGGGCTCATCCACCAATTATACTGTAGGAGTTGTTTTGTATAAGATCTAGACTCATACAGATCTTGATTTGTACAAACAAGTGTTAAAACACAGATGTACACACATATGTACTCTAGTTTATGAAATTTGAATCAGTATTGGATATTTGACGTTGAATATTGGTGTTGATAAATTCTTATTAATTTTTAAGGTATTATATAATTTTATTATCTGAAATAGTGCTGATCTTTAAAAGCACCTACAATATTTATAGATATGGAATGGCAAGTGAGGAAGTAAGCTTTATAGTCAACCTGTTTTATAGGATTTAAAACAAGATTTATTATAAAGAAGCTTCTGCTTCTGATGCATTTTATGCAGGACAGAGCCTTGACCTTGAAAATTTCTGAGGCTGTGGTACCTGATATATCCACTTATCAGCAAAGTGTGACGTTTAGCACAAAGGAAACAAGTGGAGTCTGGTTCGGGAAGCTCCTTCTGACCATCCAATTCTATTTAGCTCTGATTCAGTGAAAGACATAAATGAGAAAAATTGTAATGAACTTCGCTGCGTAAAGCAAAAGATGTGGGTGATTACAGAGAAGGGAAGCCTTGCTGTTCAAGAGAGAAAATGAAAGCAGGAATCTCCTTCCAAATCAGGAGTGGCTGCGTGACACACGCCCCCTAGAGGAGGGCTTGTCCGGCAGTGGGGAGGAGGAGGGTGAACTCAGCCACTATTTACTGAACTCTTGGCCAGCGCGGCCTCTGGTGTCATGCATGAGAAGATTCAGTGATGAGGAGATGGGCCTGATTACACCTGCTTATTGCAGAGTCAGAAGAAACCAAAACACAGTGTAATTTGCTCAAGGTCAAAATGGCCGAGCTGGGATTCTCTTTGAAGCCTGAGACTGTTTTTTACCTGACAAAGCACTGGCTACCTAAGCAGGTGGAGGTACACAGGAGCGGGGGCTTCTTGCTCCTCACCTTCATGAAAGCTGTGCACTGGCTACCTAAAGAGAGACAACAGGTACCTCCAGAGAGATGGGCATAGGGCACAGGTGTGTTTCAACTGGGATGAGAACACACTAAGTGTCCTTTTTTCTTTCTGATGACTATTTCTATTAACCTCTCCTGGCACCCCCTGTGCTCACCCTTCTCTTGCCACCAGCTCACCCACGCCGCCCCCAGGCCCCCAGGAAGGCCGTTCAGCCGCTCGGCAGGGGCGCGCTTGCCCTCTTGCTCATGTGTGACATCCACTAGAGCTTCTGCATCTTCCAGCACACATCTCCGAGAGGGAGCCTACTCTCTCCAAATTCTAAGGACCATTTTTAATTGCTTGTCTTAGTTTTAGATAAATAGCCTCACCTTGTTAAAAATTATTTTTCTGATATGAAGGCACAGAATTTATTTATTTTCTTCCTATCATCCTCTGGCTTTCTGAATTCCTTATTGAGTCTCAATTATCCCATTGTGGCTTTCTATTTTTATTACCTGTTATGATTTTTTAAGTATACAACAAATATAGACTCAAGAATGAGATCACAAAAGATCTGTCAACTGTAAAGGGATTGCCAGCTAGGATGGCAGACTCCTTTATTGGGAATGGATGAGACTTTGATTTATGATTGGCAGACGGCTCCCTTCTTCAAGACAGGGGAACAGTTTCTAATAGGAGGAACATGTCCTTATGGGGGGAAATGAGCTGCAGTTTGTGGCCTGCCACTAGGTGGTGAGGGCATCTCTTCATTCCTCTGTGCCTGGGTCAGTGTGACAGCTGAGTGTTTTAATAAGCGAGTATACCTCAGACCCTGTCAGCCACCCAGAACACGGAGGTCTATTTGCACTCCTCTCAATAATCCCACTGCTAAAAACAGCTGAAGCCCAGAGGCCCTGAGGCTCCTTGTTAGAACTGAGCAGTGATCTGGTTACCCTCGGCTATGCTGAGGCATTCCGGAGGTTCTCATGTTCCCACGAGCTTAGGATGGCACTTGTTATTTTTATCTAAGGTGCTGCAGGCTTTTCATGAAGGTGAGGAGCAAGAAGCCCTCGCTCCTGTGTACGTATGGGTCTGCTCCATTTTATATCAAATGAGACATGGCTTTCTTTCAGCAGCCATGAAAAGGGATAGGAGAGGACCTAGCACCGGCTTGTTGAGAAAAGGGGCATCTCAGATAAACAAAGGGCTCCCCGATGTGGCTTTCTAACCTCAAGGACAGTAAAGGGAATAGAAGTACCCAGGTAATAATAATAATAAAATTAAAGCCATAGTGGAAGTAGGCATTAGAGGAAGGTAACAGGTGATGCAGCTTTATAGTCAAAGACCAAAAGGAAGTCGGCAGCTTTAGCAATGCTTTATGCACAAGAGGAGCTCAATATTCCCATGGAATTCCTGGTAGGAAAAGTAAAGTGGTGGGGGAATCCGTAGACTTTGAGAAAAGTGAGCTTTCTCTGTGCCAGCTGCTTGCCTCCTCACATCAGTAAAAAAGGGAGAATAATCACAGAACAATAACCCAAAAGTGGTTCGTCATGGATTTTAGAACAATCCTAGCCATGAACTTGATTTTCTTGGCTTTCTGAAACAACAGCGAAGGCATTGCTGTTTAATATTCACACAGGATTATAAGCCCAAGTGAGGATCAGGATCTGAAAGGAGGCTCTCGGGGTGCTGCCCTGTGAAGGCTGGCGACCCTCAGTGCCTGAGCCCAGAGTCAGTGCCTCCACCCACCTCCAGATTTGCAGCTGGAAGGTTCAGGTTCGTGTCTCCTTATACATGTGTTCATTCATCTGCCATTTACCAGCTGTCTACCCTACGCCCAAGATCAGGGAATGGGAGAAGCAAAAGTTCCCAGGAAAGCTAGATCAGGAAGAGGGGAGAGGAGTGCACACGGTAAAGCCCCAAGGCTCCGCATGAGGTGGACAGTAGGGCGGGTAGAGGGACATATGTTTCCAAATACAGCCTAACTGCAGGGCTGGACAAGTTGACCTTCGGCAGCAGCTGTGCCTATTTTGGGCCTGGGGTCTGTGTCCCAAGGACAACAGGTGTTGAGACCCAAAGAACAGGCCATCAGTATATGGGGATTTATTTTGGCGGCATCTTGGCATCATTCCCAGGGGCAAAAGCCAGTCTTTCAATTAGTTGTCTCCAGCTGGAAACATAAAATATCTCCTCTTTCTGTTTCTCTCATTCCCCTTCAAGACAGAGGACCTCAAAAGAGGAGACAGGGACATTCAGTGACCGGGGTGCACAGAAGTGCCTGCACATCTGTGTCTTCCTGCCTCCTTCCCTGTGTCCTCCTTAGAAGGGGTCAGAGGGGCAGGGCCAGCGAGGCTGGCCCCAAACCTAGCATGAAGTACCCCAAGGTCTGTAAGTCTCTTCCACTCCATTCCCAGAAAAGCTCCATAAGCTCAGACTCAGATTCCTCCCTCAGAGTCCAGGGACATCTCCGTTGTCTGACCAGCTTGGTGCTGGGCAGAGTTTATACTCACTCGACCATGGCTGCTTCTCGACTTCTTTCAAATTCTGTCTTGTCCTAAAATCCTGCACGATCTATTTCTTTTGTTCACTGTCTGAAACATGGGGTAGGAGATGAACAGAGGCTTGTTTCTTTTTTTGTGATTCCCGACATCTTTGTAAGAAAATATGAATAGCAGTTCTATGCTTTAAATCATCCTGAGTTTCTGAGATAAAAAGACAGTTTGAATATTAATCATTACAGAAAAAGGAAGAAGCAATTTTGACAGGTCTGTCTGCATTTTATGGCTTCATTGATACTGTTTTATGGATTTTAAATGCTAGTGATACAAAGATCCAATGACCTAAGGTGTACATGGGTTATAAACCGTTTGGCCCAGAAGAATGTATAAATGTTCCTCAACTTACAATGGTTCTGCTGGATAAACCCCTTGTAAATTGAAAATCTCCTGAGTTGAAGATGCATTTAATACATCTTGCCTAGCGAACGTTGTAGCTTAGCAACACAGCACACTGTAGCCTGTCAACTGCTTCCCCTTGTGGTCGCGGGGCTGCCTGGCAGCTGCTGTTCAGGCTCACTGCTGCTGCGCAGCGTCATGAGAGGGTATCTCACAGCATGTAGCCGACCTAGGAAAAGATCTAAATGCAAAATTCAAAGCATGGTTTCTGTTGAATGCATATCATCTCTATACCACTGTAAATAAAACTATCATAATTCAAGGACCATCTGCCTAGTATTCAAGGTGAATGATATCACAGCAGAGTCCACTCAAATTAGGTGATATTCCTAAGTTCTCCTCAGGCCTGTGTGAAACATCCATCTATCCCTGCTCTGCCCAGACCCAGGAGTGGCTCCTCTGTCTGTCAGCAGAGGACACTTGCCTCAGACCCACGCATGGCAGCAAATGCGGCCCTCCTTTGCTCTCCTGCCTGGCTACATCCACTTGCTGAAATCCTGAGCCTCCTCTGGGTCCCTGGGTCCTTCCCAACCACTGGCAGCCATGCCCCATCCTTTGTAGACCTTTCTAGGGGCACTTTAAACACTTCCTCTACTCTCTCTGAGTGGCAGTTGCAACTTACTGTCTTACTTATGTGTCCCAGTTTCTGTCTCAGGAACTTGTAGCCACACATGTGCGTGCATGTGGACATATGCACTCGGGCAGGAGCGCGTGCGCGTGCGCATGCGCGCGCACACACACACACACACACACACACACACACACACACAGTTTAGACAGCCTTTGGAAAGACACTGAAAAAGGAATGAGAAAATCTGGGCTCCAGTCTTAATTTATTTCCAGTTTATTTCATAATCCTGGGCATTTTACTATCTAGAAATTAGGATTCCTTACCTGAGAAAAAGAGAGGTCAGCATTATTTTAAGGATGCTTAAATCCAGCTGGGCACCAGCATTGCTTGGAGTTCTTTTTAAAAAGTACAGAATTTAGAGTTCCTCAAAGATTCTAGTTCAATAGGTTGGGCTGGAGCTTGGGAATCTCTATCAAAATGTTCTCGGCTTACGGCAATGATACTATTCTATTTAAAGATACGCTGATGCCTAAAGATACACTCTTAGGGTAACTGTTTAGAAAGCAGATTCCTAGCTGGACATGGTCACATGCCTGCAATCCTAGCACTCTGAGAGGCTGAGGCAGAAAGATCACAAATCTGAGCCCAGCCTGGGGAACTTAGCAAATTTGCAAGGCCCTGTCTAAAAACAAAACAAAACAAAAATTAAAAGCTGAGAATGTAGCTCAATACAAAGACCCTGGGTTCAATCCTCAGTATTGGAAAAAAAAAAAAGCGGCTTTCTGGACCCCAACCCAGACCTACTAAGTGAAAATTTCCAGCAGAGGGATCTGATAACTTGTGCAGTTACCCAGCACTCCAGGAGACCTGTCACAAAGTTGGCCGGGGAAACAAAGCTTCCCAAAGACCAGCACTGTCGTGTTCATCTGGAGTGTATCAGATGGGCTGAAGCTCAAGCCCTTCCTTGCACTGCCCGAGTCAGGATCTGCATGCTAACAAGAGCCCGGGTGACCGGAGCACACTAGTTTGAGAAGCATGGACCAAGGTCTGTGGTTCCCAAGAGCTAGCATGCTGCAGAGTCTTCTGGAAGGCTTGCTGATAGCAAACCACATTCCTGGGCCCTGCCCTCCAGTTTCTGATTCTCAGGTCTGGACTAGGCCTGGTGACACTGCTGCTGCTGATCTGGGGACCACATTTTAAGAACCAGACCTCAGGGAGTTTGCTAAGGACTCTATTTCCAAGCACGAAATCTTTCCACTTTGTCTGTCCCTCATTAATCTACCTGGGCACTTGCAAATCCTATTCACCCGCCATGAGTGTGTAAACTCCTACGAACTAATCACCAGTGTAACTGCTGAGGTGCTCCATTGTGTGGCACAGATTGTATTTGTTGTAAGAGTTTCCAAAGAGTCACACCGTGGAGGCTGGGTGTGGTTGTGCAAAAGGAAACGTCGTCTCCTCCTTCCCTTGCCTTTGCCTGAATAAGCTGAGGTGGGAGATGCGTTCCTGAGACTGACACTTTACAAGCCCCCTCAAGCTCCTGACAAGAGTGTGTTTTTTGCTCTTACAAATGGATTTCCTCACCCTTGTCCCTACAAATAGAGACTTGGGAACAGGAGACCGAAGAGCAGGGGAGCTACAGACACGGCCTACCTTCTTTCATGACGGTGCAGAAGGTGCTTCAGCACAGACTGCTTCAAGATCACCCCACTGGCTGTGACAGCGCTGAAACTTTGACAGGAATTTCCTGTTACGAATGTACCCACCCTGCTCACGTGGGACCTCCCGTCTCCTCTGCTCATTGGGTCTCCCTGAGGACTTGTACAAGGGCCCAGTGGTGTCTCCCACACTCAGGACAGGGTCCCACCCCAGGGCTCTAGGACATTTCTGTGGCTCTGCCAGGCATTGTCTTTCACACCTTAGCACCAGTCTTCCACTAGGTGGCACCACTGCTCTGCCAGCCGTCACAGTGCCCAGCAGGGCCTCGCGGAAGTGATAAAGTTCTTCAGGTGTGAGGCCGACAGATGGCTCTGGTAAAGTGGGTGACAAGTGGAAGCTCCTTCTGCTCTTTGGCCACCCTTGCTAGAGGAATCCAGAGTGGCTCTGAGCCAAGTTGGAGTTTAGGCAAAAAGCAAAGCTAGTAATACCAATCCTATACCTAAATTTAAAATTTTGTTCATCGTGGAATTTCTTGCACTACATTTGACTTTTATTTATTTTTTTTATTTTAAAGATAAAAGGAGGGAAACATTAACAGACATACTACATTTTACAACATATCACAAGCACAATACAGACAATACAGAGTTACAAACAAAGTGGTAGGGAATTAACAATGGTGGTTGTATTACATATTGATATCTTCAAAGTGGCTTCTCATGAAAACAGATATAGACATGCAATACTGGTCAACCAAAGACTCATTGACAGTTTCTTTCAGCATAGAAATAGAAGACAGAAGAACAACCATGTTAACTATCCTGTATATACATACATACAAAATTTCTCCTTCTTTCCCTTCTCTTTTCCCACATCCCAGAAGCCCTTTACTCTTCAGTGGTTTCCTATCATTTCACAGTGTCTATCATACCTCCGAGTTTAAATTAACTCTTTCAAGTTTTACACTAGTGACACAATGCGGTGCTTGCACATGTATGTTTGATTTATTTCACTTATGAGTATGGTCTCTAGTTGTGACCATTTAAATACAAAGGCCTCGAGTTTATCTTTCTTTATAGCTGAGTAATATTCCATTATATAAAAGTACCACAATTTTCTTATCCAATTCTTACATTTGACTTTTAAAAAATATTGCAATATAGTGATTAATCTAAGATTTTGAATCCTCCCCCGTTAGATTTTTAGCCAAGAGGGGGATGCCTCGCTCTCCTCTTCAGCCTGGCAGTGTGGTTTGTTTCCCGCTGTCTTGGAGCACCGTGGCCAGGGCTGTTCCTGCCCCAGCCGAGATTTTAGGGCAGCTGCCATGCCCGGGGATGGAGGTTCGGGCAGGGTCAGTTCACTGTCACCGGCAGGAGCTTGACTCACCTCAGCATAAGTCCTGCTCCAGGAGGCCCCTCATTCTCCCTGTGAGCCCACTTCTGCCAGCCTGTAACCCTACGTCCCCCCACGCCCCCCAAAGTCTCAGATCACAGACTGCCACCACCGAGCCACACCCCAAACCCTGCTAGTGGAAGAGAGGTTCCAGCCACCAGCCCAGAACTTTACTGTCTTCCAGAGCATTCCCCTGCCCTCTGCAGAGCTGGGTTTTACTCTTTTCTGAGGGACCCAAACGCTGCTTGTTTCTCATGTGCTCCATTTAGGCTCCTATTTCCTTCTCCTGGTCTTGAGGAACCTTCATAACTTCCTCCTCCTCAGGGAGCTGGTCGTCTCTGCAGCTCCCGGTGACACCTCCCTTAATGGTCCTAGTTACTTTCCGTGGGCCCGGGGTCCCTCCGCAGAGCACAGTGAGAGCACAGCGGCTCACTGAGCCAATAAGCATTGCAGGGCCCCAGCGCTCAAACACGACAGTCTCTCCAGCCTTGGCCGAGGAACCCCCGGGAGAGCTTTTCAATGTCCTGATGCCCACAGCTAGGTGTGGTGCGTGCACACAGTGGCAGCTACTTTGGGGACTGTGGCAGGAGGATTACTTGAGCCCAAGCAGCACAGCAAGACCCCATCTCAAAACAAACAAACAAACAAACATAATTCCCCAGTCACACACAAGACTGGTTAAATCAGAACCCCTGGGGCACAGCCCCCAGGCATCAGCACTATATGACACCCTGAACCTGCAGATGAGACCAATTCCCAACCAGTAAGAACCTGGGTACCAAAAAAAAGCTGGGGCTCTATCAAGCTGAGGCTGCCACCTACAAACAGAAGGAGGTTGGGTAGGGTAGGGCGCTTCTATTTTGTTTTACAAATATAGTTTATAACGAGCATGTATTACTTCTCTCTATATATATTTTACATGTTAGCTGGATCCTGTGTGCATCGCCATGGAGGAGGCAACCAGGAAGGAAGATGCTGGCTCCCACGGGGAGGATCACACTCAGAATAAAACTCTTCTGGCCTTTCAAGGGTCACTGCATGTGACGGCCATTGCTTCCCCTGAGCCCAGGTCCTGTCCAGATGAAAGAGGAGCTCCCTTTGCTGGTCCTGCCCCCTTATTCCCGGTTGTCCCCTTCTCCATGTGCTAGACTGGTAACACCCCCAGGATTTAGCTAAAAAATATATGCTCGCTATGCAACTATGGCTGCAAACCACGAGACAGAAGTGCCTTGCCCTATGCTTTCTCCTCTCATTCTCCCTGTCCTGTGGGGAGGGGTGGGCTAAGGAGGCATTGTCAGCTCAGAGCTGAAGGTCGTGCTTGCCATGAGACTTCCTTTCTGAGCCTCAGTTTCCTTAACTGTAAAAGGGGAATAACTGGTAACTCCCTTAGAGGATTAATGCCACGATACAGTAAATAATCTAGGAAGATACTGTCTATAGAACGGCAGTTCCCAAAGGCTAACTGAATTAGCTCAGATAATTGCTGGAGCCAGACAGAGGCATGAAGTACTTTGACTTTTCGTGCTCATAATGCTCAGATCACACGAGAATTGGGTTCCCGTGGATTAGTAAAAATAGTCCCAAAGCCCAGCTGTTGAGATCAACTAGAAATGGTGCGTCAGAGGCTCCCAGCCCCCTTTTAAATCAAGCCGCACTTGATGAAGATTGCCACCAGGGGGCAGTGCTGGGTCACTGATAACGGGGAATGACTTCAGAGTCCCCCAAAGCCTCTGCGGAGGCTGCTTCTGCTCTCACCACCTCTAGCTCCTGGAGTTTTCGGCGCGCCAGTCTGCCCCGGTCAGCAATCGGCAGGCTACGGGTGCCGCATCATGCAGAGGTGCAGGCATCCAAGCTCCTTCCCAGCGTCTACTTGCAATTTAGGGTCCCTTCAACAGCTCTGAGCTCGGATTCTGTTCCGCTTTCCCACAACGGGCTTTCCATGCGACAGGGCGCCTCTGTTCGCACCCGTGGGTCACAGGTCAGGCGCTGTTCCACTTGCCCTCCCTTCCCTAGCCCAAGTCGGGTCCCACCAGGGGCGGTTTCTCTGTCATAGAAGGAACTTCCCTGGTTCCTCCGGACTGAGAGTGGACCGTGGCTATGCTCAGGAAGGGTGCTTATACCTCTGGGATTTTCTTGACAATGAGGATAATCAAAGACGTCCCCAAATCACAAATTCCCGTGACGTAGTCCAGGTTGGACCCTGCCTTGTTCCCTTAGCCAATTTAAGAATGGTGACACCACGCCTCCCGCCAAACGGACTCGAACTTCAAACAATCCCCATAAAGATAAGACAAGAGCCCAGAACTGTGACAATGCCCCAAACTAGACTCCTCCTCCGTCACCCCATTCCTACCGAGAGATAAAGAAAGTACTTACAGAGACTCTGCTTCCCAGGACCACTTAGATGGCAAATACTCTCTCCCTCTGTCAAACACTGAGAAGTCTTGGTCTTGGCAGACCCGTGTACCCTTGACTTGGGGCCTGTGCCACCTGAGCTGGGGGTTAGCACTGAAGAATGTTTTGATTGTGTGTACTCTCCAAGGAGAACAAGGAAAAGTGTTCTTGTATG